GTGGCACCTGTTTCTACTAGCTTCTTGTTACTATTTGTATCCCTACCACTCTTGCTCGTGAAGACGAGGTGCAGCATGTTCCTCGCCAAGCCAGGCTTTGTGTGGCCATTGTGGTGTGCAGCGAGAAGGCCGCTGGTACCTTTGTGCGCAATGCGGAGCCGGCTATTGCAGCCGTGCGCACCAGATGGCTGCCCTCCGGGAGCACAGCAGGAGCTGGGCCATGCGGTCAATCAGAAAGATGGGATCCAACTGTCCTCCCTCAACCTGACAGCAAACTCATCAACCTACTGCTTCTCAAGAACATGCGTTGCAAGCCGTCGCTGCCTAACCTTTGCTCATGTATTTTGGGGTGAGCTGGCGTGTAGTAGGCAAGGGTAAGTTTGTGTTTGCCTGCGAGATGTGAGCGCGCACGGTTGGACCCAGAACACGCCTTAGAAGAGAAAACTCGTGACATCGGTTCCAGAAGGAAGGCCTCTAAGCGCTGTGTGACCGTGGGCTTTTGGTGCCATTCTTATTTCCCAGGACGTGCCGGCAAGAAGCTCCCGAAGCTTCCTTGCCAAAGCCTGAGACTGTAGCTTTGCCCGGAGCGCAGTCTTTGCTGGTGCCCTGCCAGAGTTACGGGGTGAACTTAACATGACTCGGAGCATGCGGCGGAGCAATGTGGCAAGTTATATAATTGTAAAGAATCGTAAGTTTGTCACATGACATCAAAACACAGGATGTGCGATGAGAGTGGTTGAAGTGCGTTCTGAGAGCCAGGCACCGGACCTGCAGCGGCGAATCCTGGCTGCGTTGCCACAGGATGAGGTGAAAGCCTACCAGAGGGCCGGCCTTGCTTGGAGGTGGAACTGGTAGAACTCGCATTTGCTCCTTGTAGCGAACATTGTTCCTAGTAAGGCCAGGAGACGCTAGTAGCGTCCTTGCTCCTAGTAGCAATGCCCTTTGCTCCTAGTAGCATCCTTGCTCCTCTAGTTGTTGTGGACCTTTTTGTGGGGTGAATTGAAATCCAGGAAGATGGACATACATGGATCCATGTGTTCCTTTTGCTAGACCAGTCAGCTCTTCATCGTTTTGCAACCCCCCGTGCTAACCAGGCAAGCGGCCAAGGAATTTGTCACAGATGTGCTTCGCGCGCCTTGGTGGTTGTCTCTCGGACAGAAATGACGTTGTCACGCAAAGATCACAAAGAAATTATGGCCTCATAAGCTAAGCGCGGGACTGTCAATTTTGCGCCGGCAGTGTTGGCTGGCCACTCCTGAAGCAGACAGGAGCGAGATGGAACAAACAGAATTCCTGTTGAGGTTAGATGTTCGTGGGCATGCTGGCTTGGTAGAGGCACATCCCAGATTGGCATTGACAGAATAACTACATCACGACTACTTGCTTCGATGCCTTGGAATGCGAGAGAACTCTTGGGTAAGTTGAAGGAAACACTGAAGCATTGCCAATTTAATATGTCCGTAAAGGTTGCCCCGCGCTCCGTATGGAGGTGTTCACTTGGTGCTCTCCTGTTTGCCTCCTGCGAAGTGCCTCTGCCTGCCACGCCTGGCACAGAGCTGCAGAGAGCCGCGAGGTGTCAATGGCCGCATCTTCATTTTTCGGTTCAAACTTTCTTCCTTACGAATACATGTCTGCTACTAGTAGCTTCTAGCTACTACTAGCGATGCCCTTTGTTACTAGTAGCGATGCCCCTGCTAGTAGCCTTTAGCTACTACCGTCGTACAGTTACAGGTGCAGGTGTTCTTACTTGCTCGCCGAATTGAGGCATGGCGCTTTCTACGTCTCAGCTTCGGCTGGGGCCCAGATTTCGAGATGCGCTGCCTGCTGCGGCGTCTCAAACGTTTGGGGCAGCGCCACGGGTTGATGGAACTACCAGAGGCTGGGAAGCAAAAACAGGCGGTGTATGGGCCTGAAAGGTACAGGAAACCTCCCCCAATCACTGCAAGACTGCCACTGAGCTGCCGAGGCCGTCCATCTCATTTTGGTGGATTTACTGAGGTTGCTCCTTCCAGCCCGGCCTCGACGCCCTCCAGTCCTGGAACCGCGTGTGAGGGCTACCCGCCGAGCTCGCCGCCGCAGAGTCCCGTGCAAGCAGCGAAAGGCCTGGGCCACCGAAAGGCTGCGGATGTCGAGGAACATTCTTGAACAACTGAGTTGGATAAGTTGGATACATGAACTTAACATGAAGTTCATTTTTGGGCCCACCCTGGCCCGCGCCAGGACTGTATTCACCTATCGTGTGTAGCAGATATCCGGCTGCTGCCCAGGTGCGCAGCCTTCGCAGCTGCTGCTTTGCCGGCATCCTTTGGGGAATGCACTGGGGGAGCTTTGGCTGTTGCAGCTGCAGAGCAGCCGCTGCCAAGACCCTGCTCGACGAGCACTCAGCAGGCTTCTAGCAGCTCAGCCGCAGCTGCTGGCAAACCACGCCGTGTTAGAAGTGAACGCAGGCCTTTGGGTTTGTGAGTGACTCAAGAACTAATGGGCAACTATATAGACAGAAGAACGTGCACGACTCCAGTCACCACACTCTGGTAATATATTCAATTTGGCATACCTAATGCAACAGCAGTCGCTATCGGCCATTTGTCGGAGGTGCTGGACTGGTTGGCTTAGGGTCTTCAGCATATGCCAAGACGATGACGATCACTGCGCCTGATGATCTCACCTGCCGACTGATCCGCCTAAATGCCTCGCTGCTGGGCAAAGGCAAGAGCCGCCCACAAGTTCCTGGACTCAGCGGTATGTCAGTGCCTGCCTCGGAGCAAAAGAGGTCCAGGGACACATGGAGGAAAGAGTTGGTGCCAAATTGAAGAGAACGCGGCACAACATGTTTTCCAACAATGTGATCTTTTGTGAATTTTCAACATGTTTTTGGATTTTAGGGTGATGCCTGAAGGCCGCGAGTGTTTGTTCTGTGAAGATGCTTCTCACCAGGTGCCTGTGTATGTTTACACGCTGCCGATATCGCTGAACGGGGCGAAAGCCTTGGCACGACAATGGCAGTGGGACCGGCACAGCGGAAGCACACCCAGCAAAATGGCAAGCGAGTTACTCACACACTGACATACATCATGTGGCTGTGGTGCAGCCATCAACATGCTTTGCACACATGCTTTTGATCTGTTGTTGAAAGGTTTTTCTCACTGCGATTCCGAGTTGAGAGCAAGAGCGCTGAGCTGAGCAAGAGACCGACAAGGCTTGTGATGCTGCATGCATCATTGCAGGACAGCGGCAGTGCGATGCGTGCGCTAAAGCCCTCGCTGCTGGCACCCTCTTTCGATGTAATCCTACATGCCGGCGAGCCTTTGGATGTCCAGGCTACCTTGAAGATGTCCTTCGCTTTTGTTTTTGTTCGACTAGAGCTGTGACATGTCATGCAAGGAGCAATGCACAAAAAGCATTTGAAGCCACTGTGTATAGGTCCAGAATTCCAAGAACGACCAAGAAGACATGAGAACCATTGCTGTCCTGTAAATGTGCACTATGTGACACGGAGTTGTTACGTTTGAACATTGCTATGGCAATGCTTCATTCAGCAGATTGATTGAGGGCCTCATGGAGATGTGCCAGCATTTGCTGGCACCAGCTGGCCTTTTGGTGACAGTGCCCAAGCTTGGCTGATGCACTGATCAGTGTGCGTGCCACCCAATGCTTAGATTGCTCTTCACCTTTATTCACACGGCTGTCAGTTTTTGTGACGGCCTAGTCTGTACCTCAGGAGGATTAGAAGCATCAACTGGTTCCGAGGTGTGTGGTGCCCTGGACGATGTTTCCGCCATGTACTGTGCGGTGAAGGCTCTTTTCCACCCACGTTGATGTTGATGCATACAAATCGAATTATTTCCCTTCCTTGAAATCCAAGAGGCCAAAGGCTTCGCCTTTGAGAAGGACGAAGTATCCAGTCTTCATTGGAGCAGTGTTGATCTATTTGTTCCTTTCCTTTGGAATGGCCACCCAGGTCATCCATGATCCGCAAGAAGGCTACTTCCGTGTACTCCAAGTAAAGAAGCTTCGGTGATGCACGCCTGCGATAGATTTGATGGTTACACTCTGGCTCACGTTCATGGAAGTGGATGGCATAGGCATAGGAAGACCAATTTTGCTTTGCAAACGGGGGGTTATCCACTTCCATGTTGGTGAGTAAGAGGGTAGGCAGGTTTGGGAGTTGCAACTGAGATTTGAATGGGCGTTCTAGGCGGTGTATGTGTGGAAAAGACACCAGAAGAGACCACCGATTCCTCAAAGTTCCTGTTCTTAGCCGTGCCTTTTCAGTAGGGATGCTGCCAAGCAGCTCCGATTCAACCGAGCCGAGCAGTTCTTCTCGGGCCCAACCGTCTGTTGAACACAGTGTGCCAATCGGCAGAGCTGCTCCAACCCGAGAAGCAGAAAAAGGCACCGAGCGGCTTCTGACTCTTTGACCTACCAAGCGTGGCACTGCAGCGGGTTGGACATACGATGTACACTGAAGTTGCCAAAGCAAAACAACCTACCTCAAAGAGGCCAGGGTCTTTGGCGTCCAAACTTAATAGATGTTCATCAGTTTCAAGTTCCAACCTCATGACATTTGGCGGAACCTTTGGCCTGCAAACAAGTCAAGCTCGCCAAGATTTCATCTTTACAAAGCATACAAAACTGTCTTTTTTTCTAGAGCTATGTGGTATGGTCTGGGTGCAGCTGGTCAAAACACGCGGTGTGGCAACGGTTAAACTTGGCTGACGCTGTTGGGCACTTCTTGCGCCTTTAACTGGTGGTCAAGTCTATTCCTCACAACTGGCGGACATTTAGGGAGGTGACATGTGCACAAGACCTACTGGCCTACTGGCATTTAGCTTGCTGACAGCTTCCGCTTGCTACCTCGATTCGTTTGGAACGCAACATTCTGAATCATATTAATTAACATAACTTTTTCCCCAGATAGCGAAGCTATAGTATAGGGTTCTTACTTCAAATAACAATGAGTTGCCCGTGCGCGCTTTCGAGACAGGTTGCTGGTGCTGGGCGCCGGTGCTGGTGCTGGTGCTGTAAGCTGGCTGTGCACGTGGTGGAGGCAGGTTGCTGGTGCTGGTGCTGGGTGCCGGGCGCCGGTGCGTGAGCTGGCTGTGCACGTGGTGGAGGCAGGTTGCTGGTGCTAGTGGTGGTGTTGGGTGCCGGCTGCCGGCGCTGGTGCTGGTGCTGTGAGCTGGCTGTGCACGTGGTGGAGACAGGTTGCTGGTGCTGGTGCCGGGTGCCAGTGCTGGTGCTGGGTGGTGCTGGGTGCCGGTGCTGGTGATGGTGCTGTGAGCTGGCTGTGCACACGTGGTGGAGACAGGTTGCTGGTGCTGGTGGTGGTGGTGGTGGTGCGGGGTGCCGGCGCTGGTGCTGTGAGCTGGCTGTGCACGTGGTGGAGACAGGTTGCTGGTGCCGGGTGCTGGGTGCGGGTGCTGGGTGCCGGGTGCTGGTGCTGGGTGCTGGGTACACCGGCGCTGGGTGCTGGTGCGGGGCGCCGTGAGCTGGCATGCCGGTGCTTGGTGCTGGTGCCCGCTTCTGACAGTGAAGTTATAAAAAGCGCCGGTTCTGACAGTGAAGGGTAACAAACCGCCGCTTGCAGCAGTGAAGGGCGACCAGGCACCGCTTCTGACAATGAAGTGCCCGCAGTCATGGGCCGCATGAACTTATGCACGCAACATCATACGGTGTTGTCGCTTGAGCGTTCTTTGTCTATTAGCGCTGTGGGGTATTTACACTCTTCAGGCTCTGTTTTGGCCAACAGCTGTGTCAAGGGCTGTACTGTTTGCGCGCATACTTTCGTACGTATAATGTTCTATGCGCAGCGTCAGGCTCTCAACCGACCATTGTTTCAGCATGCTACACACACAATAGTCGTGCTGGATATTGCTTGGCCTTGGGCGAGTGAAGCCTACGGGCTTTGCCGTTTGTGCGCATACTTTTGTGCGCATAAACTTGTACGCGCAAGATCATACGGCCTTATCATTCTGCAGATCGTTGCTTCAAGCATGCTACAAAATCAACAGTGGCGCTGGATACTGCTTGGCCTTGGGCCAATGATACTTACTGTATGGGCTTTGCTGTTAGCGCAAATACTTTTCTGCGCACAAACTTATACGTGCAAGATCATACGTTGTTATTCCCCAAACAGGGATAGCCATGGGGCTTCTTGCTGCAAATAAAAATGAGCTGGCTGCGCGCGCTTTCAACAGGGTGTCGGTGCTGGTGCTGTGGTCCTGGTTGCTGGTGCTGTGAGCTGGCCAAGCGCGCGTTTAAGACGGGCGGCGGCGCTGGTCGGGTGCTGGCGCCGCTGCCGGTGTTGTCAGCTGGCAAAGGGCACCGGTGCGGGTGTCAGCTGATCGCGCGCGCTGTGGAGGTGCCGTAAGTAGGCTGCGTCTATTCTTGTTTCAGCCAGTCGCATGTCAACAGGTCGTGGGATTCTGCCTAGCTATCTGGGTCTATGCTGGTGTAATTTTTTGGGCGGATCTTTAGGCGCCTTCTTACCAAATCATCCCAGCTCGCTAAAGGGGAGGGAGAGATCATTCAGATGGACGCTTGTCATGGCCCATGGACGGTTGCATTATCGGTGGTCCCAGCTGGAAGCTGACAAGAGCTTTGACATTTGATGATTTGGAAATATTTTTTGCAGCTTTGTGCTTTGACTTATGCAGATTCTTCCTTTTGCTGTGTTCATCTATGCCCCGATCTCCGCGTTGAGTTGAGGAGTGGGCTGAATGTGGGTTCACCTGTGCGCCCGTGGCCCAAAGTGGACAGGACCAGAACTGTCCAATAGTTATTTGAACTATATATTCATATTTTGTGGTGGAGCCTCACCTATGTTCGAGGTTGCTGTGCCCGTTTGGTTCTTGAATGTGGGCCTTGAGAGTATGGCTATGGATTGTGCTCGCTCGCCCTCTTGATGGTTTCAATTGGTAGTTGTTAGTGCCTTTGTTACCGCTGGCCTGCAGGTTCACAGTAGATTTACAACTATTCCCCTCACTTCTATGTACACCTGTGACTCTATTTAAGGCGTTCTGAGATCCAAGTCACGAAAGCTAGCGAAGCTAGCTGGAGTTACTCTTGCGATAGCAAGGTTTCTTTCGACCGGGTGCAAATCCTAACCCCTGATTTTTCAGGTCGAAGACCCCCCCCCACCCCCCCCCCCCCTTCTCCCCTCTCCCCACCTCCCCTCTCCCCACCGTCCCCCCTCTCCTCCGCCTTGTCTTCCTCCCATCTTCCCTCCCTCCCTCCTCCCTCTTCGCAAGTTCGACTCCGTCCTGTCGTCGCTCTTTGGCATGCGGTTAGCGTTGCGTATCTTGCGGCCGCACTCGCTCACTCTCACTCTCACTCTCTCACTGTCTCACTGTCTCACTGTCTCTCTCATCTCTCTCATCTCTTTCTCATCTCTCTCATCTCTCTCTCCTCTCTCTCTCTCTCTCCTCTCTGTCTCTCGTCTTTCCGTCTCTCTTCTCTCTCTTCTCTCGCAGGAGGATCCGGGCAAAGAGCCACATATAAAGGACTCTTCACCCCTGCCTCCAAAAAGAGCGCCGTGTTTTTTCCTACCTCGCTGCCCTCCACTTTCCCATTCTGGAGCGCTAGCTTTCGCCCCCTCTTGGCCTCAAGTTTTCTCTTGGCTGGTTTGGGGCCAGGACGCTTGCCCTGGAACCCAAGATCCAACGTGGCCACGATGCAGCGCGTGAGAAGGCTTTCGGCAGGTGCAAGCACCTTTACAAGTGCTGTGACTACAACACATTTTACAAGAGACTTGTATGGCAATCGAGCCTTGTGGGGGACATGTTTGGAATAGCCGGCCTTTCTAGGTTTGCCGGGTGGGCAGTGGTTAGCACATGAACGACTGATAGCTTCACATAGCGTTTATGTGCCAGTTGCAATTATAGAGTACTCCCAGCACATAGATTCGGCAACCAATGCGAGGAATGGATCCTTGAAGCTAACGGAAGTTGAGCTTTTTTTCCTCAGCTCTCACATGTCCAAAGACTCTTCGCGCGATTGGGCGGTCGTCTATTTGGGCGTTGGCAACGGTGAGCGCTTCCGCTTTCTGCGGGATGAGTTCTTCCCGCATCTCACAGTGGTTGCCTTTGATCCTTTGGACAAGTTCTACACGGGTTCCAGAAGTTGGGTCTGGAATTGTGCGCAGCGGTGGAATCAGGATACTGAAGGGCAACCTCGTCAACTTAACCAAGTGGAATTGAACCAGATGAAAAGTACCAGAGCTGTTGCGGGTTGCGATTTTTCGGCTTTCTTCTGTCTTGCATTCTCCTCACGGCATGACGGATTTCAATCTTTTGTTCATTCTGTCGGATTGTAGCCGCTGTAGCCCTTGAGGACGGCAGCAACTTTAGCTTCTATGTGCGTTGCTTCAATGTTGAAGAGGACATCCCTATGATTCGGGAAATGACGAATGGAAAGCGATTACTCATGATCTCTGACATCCGCGGGGTGGCCCTCACCGATGACGAGCACTTCGACAAGGTACAGGACCAGGAGGTGCAGTGGCAAGCCATCCAAGCACTGCAGCCCGAAAGCTCCCTGGTGCCCCAGTCAAAGAGAGTGTTCCACGACAGCCTTGACAGGTGGTTTGCCATTGGGGCTGAGGGTTGGTGGATACTAAACTAGCAAAACTAAGTGTTATGTCAATCGCTCATCTATTTACTTATGTACATGCGACCGTGTCCGCATGTGTTGAGTTCAACGCGCAGAGCATGTACTCATTTTGGTGGAAGTGTCGCAAAGTTCACGCTTGGCACCTTTGACAGCTACAGGGTGTGAATGCAGGAAGTGCATGTTAAATTGTAAAGAAAGATCATAAACAACCAATTTTGTTTCCTTTTTCCTGGGATTGGCAATCCCTCGATGACCTGTGCGCCATCGGCGTGTCTGGGCTGAGTACTCCTTAAGGAAGGTTTGAGGCTTCAACCACCTGTTGCCCAAGTCTCCATGGTCCATGGCTCCAACTGCCATTCGTGTGGAAACGCAGGGTTCAGTCTAAGGCGAAAAAAGGAAGGCCCCCGTCCTTTTCTCAGCTGTTTCTTTTCTACATCTTTATATTCTTTTTTCTTCGATCTATTATTTATAGATTTTTTAGTCCTTTTTCCCTCTCAGACTGTCGTCAAGTCTCGGCTGCCTCTTCAGGTAAAGTTCGCTCTGCCACATGTATGGGAGCAGTTCTATGACTATGCCCCTGGGGTCTTGCTGAAGCAGGCCTGAAGGGAGAGCATTACTTGTTTGGAATAGATGCACATGAGTTCTTGCCGGCAGATCCCGCAAATTTAGCTTTGCTTTCATTTGGTGAGCCCTTCAACTTCAGAATCCCTTCTCAGACTTTCTGCAACTTCGGCACACTTGAGCTCCGATTGCTCGTCAGTGGCGTCCCTGCGAAGAGATACAGCCTTTTGGAAGCGACCAAGGATGTGCTTGTCATTTGCTGGCTGCCAGTCTTTTAGAAGTAGAACATGCTCACGATACTATATTCTGCACGACTTGCAGAATTTGCTGGCCTTCCCTGCCTCATGCTGAAAACCCCTCAGGGATTCAGTCACTTGTGATCCATTGCCACGAACCCTCTTTGTATGTAGGCTTTTCACCATCCGAGTGTGCCTGTAGGACGACTGTATGAGAGTCAGACTCTGGAGAAGAGAGAGAAAGAGAGAGAGAGAGAGGGACAGAGAGATGCGTAACGAGCCCGCAAGGTTATGATGGCTGGGACATTGTCGAGAAGATGACCTTTCATCACGAACACTTGCGAGGTCATGAATCGACATTTGCAAGTTGTTCATGTTCAAACCGATCATGACTTTGGAACCCGTGGAAGGCGCTGCATGTGACAATGTGCCTGATCGTTTTTGTCTTGATTTACTGTAGTAGCAAAGCATTGCCAGGGCAAGTGTACAGCAGTGGACTGCGACCAAAGTGTTTGGATGGCTGCTTTGATTGCAGTGTTCTGATGGAGCGCCTGGTTGCTCAATGTTCGCTTCTCGGAAGAGGAAAAGCCAGATTTTGCGTGGGTGCCATCCGTTGAGCCTCAGGAGACACTGGCAGCCTATGCTTCCAAGAGCAGCCTGGACCGGGCTTGGGCTGTTTGTTCTTCCTTGTGCGATATGATGCAACCACGAATTTCAGCTGTACCTGGACGGGATTGAATGCGCCACAATCATTGACTCAATACTGGTCTGGTAGCTTGTTTGTCCAGGCATTTCTAGCATGCCTGACCCATGACTTGCAAACTCCCACTCATGGCCGAAACTTCTCAACAGTTTGGTTGGCAGGAGCTGGCTTCCATCACAGACAGCCTTCTGAAGTTCCATGCCACTCACCTGCAATGCGAACAACTGTTGACAAGCTCAAGTTGACTGCACACATGCAAGAACACGATAGACTCTTTGAAGAACATATGGAGCAAAGCAAGGGGGCTGCCGCACCTGGGGCATGCTTCTACCGCAGAGGCCGAGACTGAGGTCTATTATTGCAGCGGCGGCGAGGAGTGGGAGAAGTTCAGCTGGATTCCACCAAGCAGCTGAGACAAGTATTTCATACATCAATATCCTTTTTTGAAATCCAAATGAGCCGAATGTGCTTCCTCTTTGTGCTGGACCTTTCTATTGATGATTCCGCATGTTGTAAAATGAAAATGACATGCACTCTCCAAGCTGAGCTTGGGAAAACATGGGTAGTTGTTTAGAACAAATGCGGGGAAAATTGGTCTTAGCTGTCCCACTGCATGACTGCTCGAGCGTCGTTGACGGTTGACGGTCCGCCAAGCATTGTTAGGTATCATCGAGCGCTGGCAAGTGGTGCTGTGGGGATTGAAGCGAGGAAATTTGAGCGAAGCCATCCTGGCACTTGAGGTGGAGGCGAAAGAGGGTGAAGAGGATTTGGACGCTTGTTTGGCGGGTTTCATGGTTCCTCATCATTCCTCATGATTCATCCTTTGGTATGAGCGCCGGCGAATTTCAGTCCAAGGACTGGTGGCATATTTCGGATACTTAGCAAGAATTGCTGGAGATGTTGCTGTTTGTGAAGGAGTGCATTATCAGCCCAAAGTTCCAAGGAACATCTTTTGCATCATCAGCCCTTCTTAGCGCAACGCCTGGCCAAAGAGCCAACCCTCTCCCGGGCCGAGCTGGTCATGCTGACATGCTTAAACCAATGGACCATGTTGGTCTTCGCACCTGGGCGCTAGAGAAACGGTTCTACAAGAGGCTGCCATTTTCTCAGTTGAAAGCCATGCTATTTGTCAACCGTGGAAGTCGCTACTGCCAGGCGGAGGTTTTGGGCTCTCTCTCGGATCCATTGACCCTGATAGCGACCGGCTTAAACAGCTTGAAAGAAAGCATCGACAAGTCGGATTTCGGAGAGACAAGTGCGGAGCTTCTTGAGACAAATGGGTCGTGATTTTTGGGTTTGAGGGATCTTAACTTTTGCTTGCTCAATGTCTGGTGAGGTGCAAATGGTGCTGATGACTTGCATCCTGTCACGACGTGATGCTTTGTAAACAGCTTAACGCATTTGGACCTTATTGACCTGTCCAAGCATTGCAAGACTTGAGTCAAGCCCCAAGCGGCTTAGCCTCCAAACATGCCCAAGGCGCCGAAGCCTCTAAAAATTCAGCAAAATGCAAAACCCTTAAGCGGCCTAAAAGTGCCCAAGCCCCTAAAACCGAAAAGTGACCAAGAGCGCCTAAGCCTCCAAAGGCAATGACCTATTGGCAGATTCGAGCGTGTGGGAAGGAGAGGTTTGATTAAGAAGAGAGGCGTGCTTATTTGGACGGAGGGTGTTAGCGACAGGCTCAATGAAGCTTCCAGATGCGTAGACAGGAATGTCTGAGGTTCCGCCCCGAAATGGAACACTGTTAGAAAGTGAGGGCAATTGAGAGAGGTGTACCTCAATGAGACGTTCGAGAGAGAGAGAGAGAGATGCTAATCCACGAAGCATAGGAGTGTTTAAGAAGTAGAGGTTCAATGAAGAGGACAGGTGCTTGTCCAGAGAGGATGGGTTATATATTTGTATTTATTTGTCGATATTTGTCGACAACGACGGGGCATCCAGAAAGTTGGGTTTTCATTGAGCAGAGAGGCCGGGTTGGCTCCAGTCTCTGAAAGTTGCTTTGCCTTCTGCCACAACAATATCTAAGTACGTGACCAGATTGCCCCTAGAGATATCAAACTATGGCTCAGAAAGGCTTTGTGCGAAGCACATAGAATTACATAGCGGTGTTTACATAGAGCTTGTAGATGCATTTAGGTGCCTACAACCCTGCAAAGGACTAGCGGCATTTAGAGTGCTTTGGGAATTAGAGGCGCCTAGAGTGCATTTAGAGGCCGAGAGGCTACCGGAGAAATACCGAGCCCATAAATTGAGGGAGAGGAAGGCCCAGCTCCCTGACAAGCAGAGACACGATCTCATAGGTTTTGTTTAAAAACAGCCTCCACACACACTCTGACACACTGGCATCACTGGTATCACTATCACACTCTGAGCAGGCGATTGCCTCCCATACAGACCTGTTAAGTGTCTCCGTGTAACTTATTGCCACTACTTGCTGTGTTCCTGCCTGGTGTCGTCCTACTGGTCCTACTTGGTCTTCGCCAAAGCTTGCTCCGACCTGTGTCTTCGTGTGTTTCCTCTTTTTTGCTGGTGCTTGGATCTGCGTTGTGCCGATTTCGTTTCTTTTTGTGGTGCGGTGCTCTCGTGAGGTTGCAGGCCAATCTCCCATCCCCGAAGCAGAAGTACACGTGTCCTTGGTGGCCTGGATTTGTGCACGTCAGGGGATTCATGGCTCAAGCATTGTTCAGAAAAAAGGCGGCAAGGCCCGGCCATCAGCTCTTTGTTGGCTCTGGGCATTTTTGTGCTGCTATGGCTGTCAGGATCCCCCCAATGGAAAGAATCTAGGCACTGCTTCATCCAGAGTGGATTGTGTACATCGCCCGAGTTCATTCCACCTACTTCCAGAATTTCACTGGCGCGCCACGCATATATGGAGGAAGACAAATCTGGGTGGTCCGTTGCGGAGCGTGAAGCCCTGCAGTTTCTGGAGGAGAAGCAACCGAAGTGGCGTCGGAGCTATTTAGGTCCCAAAACCGAGGGACAAGTACGGGAGACCTTTCAGGCCATTTCTTCCGCTGCTGGTGGCGAAGCACAGGGACTTAAAGCCATCGAGAAGAACCTAGCGCTCATGGTGTTCCTGCCAGAGCAAATCCAAGCATCTGCAGAAGCTTTGACAGGAGAGCTTGGCCAAAAGGAGGCACGTGACATTATTCAAAAGAATCCAGGCGTCTTGACAATTCCGCCGGATAGCATCAAGCAGAACATTGGTGCAATAGTTCCATTATCTAGTGTTGTTGGCTTCTTCTCCGACAACCCTGTCCTTGCCCAAGGACTTTTTGCAGTCCTAGGGGCTGCTTTGATCTATGCCGTAGTAGTGGTTGGCGTTGTCAACCCATTAATCAAGGCCTACCCGGGTAATCAGTGAAGGAGCTGCTTGATGGAGTGCCAAGAAAGGGGTGCTTGCGCTGGAAGTGAGAGAACCGTTGCGGCATGAGTGTAAGCTTCCACACATGTGATTGCAATTTCTTGTGACATCCTGCTCAATGGGAGGGTTTAGTGTAGATTGTTGCGCAAGGGCAGCAGCTTGTGGGTATCAATCAGTGTCAATCAGTCATTCCAATGGACATGGGACAAGAGTGTCAGACTTGGCTTGTTCACCAAGGAATTTTGGTGTGATTGTTTTTTCCTTCGTGACATCGCCAAGACGTCTTTGAGACGTGCCCTCACTCGGGCCGCGCTCCGCCGTGACACGGCGCCCAGCTGCCATGGCGATGTGCCCAGGTGACACCACAGAATGGGACGACATCCAGAGGAAGTTTGGCAATTTGCCACCCTTGGAGAAGGAAGTGCCTCAGAGAGTTGTTGAGCAATCCCTAGTGGAGATAGCTGAACCTGGGCTGCGAACCCTTCGCCCCAAAAAGTCGAAAGCAACAGGTTTCTCATCTAGTTCCTTTTCGTCGCTGCCGAACTCTTTCTCCGCTCAACACCTGTAGCCCTGCCAGAAAACTGAGGAAAGATTCGACCCATTGGAAAACCGCACGTTGGAAGAGCTCGATGCAGCTGAAGATGAGGTCAACGATGAAGACTTTTTGCAACAGCACTCGGGCTTGGCATCAATGACTTTGTTTTGATTGTGTACCCCCCATGTCTTCCACATGTTTGATGGGGTGCTACTGTGGATGGCCTTGTTATCAAACCTGATTACTTCTCCCCATTAAGAATCAGTTTCTAGCCTCATCTTCCCAGCCATGACATGCCATTGGCTCACGGCTATCACCACAATCAGTCGGCCACCATCAAATTCCAACTACTGGTACGCTAGTAGAACCCGCTGCATTGCAGCATGGAACAGCCAAATCGCACAAAGCACAAAGCATAAAACTGCACGCATTGATTCTTGTTATATACTTGTTTTGGAGCTCAACGCATGAGCTCAAACCACGGACAGTTTGTTTCATAGTGCAACGGATTCTCCGAGGTATCGACGCCGACGCCTCGCGGATCTCAAGGCCGCTGCGTCCGCGCGTTTTGGCGAACTGCGGCAGCTGTGCCGTGCGAGCTATGTGCAGGAAGTGACTGAAGCCAGTGCCGGAGGTCAATGGGTCCTACTGTTGCTCTACACAGATGTACGCATGGAGGAATTACTTGCTCAACGTTTTTGGTCTACTACTTTTAGGGCCTTTTTAGGGAGTAGCTTTTGAACTCTAGATGATCCTAGTGGGACTGTTGTCACTTATGTGAGCAAAGAATCTTCCAAGGCCAACTTCATGTGTCATCCCATGATGGAACCTTGGGCCAAAGCAGCGAGACGTTTTCCCATGGTGAAGTTCTTGAAAGGTATTGCATCTGAGATCATTCCAGACTTCCCGGATGCACTGACACCAACGGTCATCATCTACAAGGATAAGGAATGTGTGAAGCAAGTGCAAGGTCTTGAAGACTGGGGTGGAAGCAAAACCAGTGTGGACACAATTGAGTGGCATTTAGCCGAGCTGGGGATCGTTGAAACTGATCAGGAAGCTGATCCACGGGCAAATGGACAGAGAAGCCAGCGAGAGCTTGAGGAAGATGAGTTTGATAATGAGGATGCGGTGGACGACCGTGGCTACACCTCGTCCCGCCTAGATCGAATACTGCGGGGCAAATGGACCTAAAGAGTCGAAAAAGGCTGACTGCAAGCAGTGGTGGTCACACTGGAGTTCTCGATCCATTTTTGCAACCACAACTCCTCACCAAGAGAGCTCAGCACAAGTCAAACACTGTATGCGCAGTGCGCATGCACGCAGTTGGGGCACCAAGGGGAAAAACTATTTTATACATGGTATGTTGGACCCAGAGCTTATCTCGAAATACCCAGCAAACCACAAACTGTAGAAAAACACTGTGATTGGAACGGGGGAGAGGCTGCTTGGCAATACCAACCCTTGCTCATGATGTTCAATTACTCCATATCACAGTCTTCACCTTGCTGTGCTTGTTGAGATTTGCTTTCATTCTGTGGACAGCTGATGCCAGCCAATACAATGTCAGCGATCCAAATTCCCACACCCATCACTCTAAGGGGGTGCTCGGATATTACTAGGATGTCTCACAGCATCCGCTTTTTAGGTTGTTCAGCACCAGTTGAAGCCAGTTTCAGGTGTAACAGTCCTGTGTACCTGGGTCTCTGAACCGGTTCCTTTCGTCGCTCACTGGCAACCTGGGCCCCAGACAAAGTGACAGTCAGGAAAGCAAATTTGTTTGCAACCAGGTGAGGGCAACTGACAGATGATAAATTAGTGACGTTAACAAACGAGGGAGATGGTCATGGATTCTAGATACTGCTTCTTGCACGTCATTGCATGCGAAGCACTCAAACCAAGCCAGTTGCCAGAATTCTGCAAAGCCCGCTTGAAAACGATGTCGCTCTTATCCGGTCTTTGGAGGTTAATGATTTTTCCTTTGGTGCCTTAGCAGAACCCCCGTGCCTCACTGCCTCATGCCTCATGTCCATATCTTTGAGAATAGCGACTTTGAGTGGGAAGGAGGTCAACATTGAGATTGACTTAGACTCTTCTGTCTCAGACTTGATGCGAAGAGCGCGGGATCAGCTTCATGCTGGAATCCAGTGTCTCATCAGCGGTTCTGGCGTGATTCTGGACAGATGGATGACACTGAGTGAGGCCTCATTGAACAACGAAGACACCTTGAGGGCCATGCTACGGCGAGCCGAAGTGGTGCCGGGGAGCTTGTCGTTTGCTTTGCTGCGATGCGATGGCAGAGTTGTGGTTTGGGGTGACGGCAAGCATAGCTTCAACCTTAGGACCCGACAACACTTGCACATCAGACTCATCAGACCTGAATTTTCTCAGAACGTTGAGACACGTTAGATTATATACATACCGAGCTCTGGTGACTAAGTCTTAGTAGTTGCAAAACGAACGCTGAAATCACTAAGGTCTATGTCATCTCTCTGTGAACATATACCTATATATATATATATATGCACATATATACATATACATATATGCATATATTTATATATGTGTTTCTTTAAATACATTTGTTTTTCTGCATGCTTGGGATGCACGGGGTCGGTTCTCTTCACTGAGGCTGCAAAAGGTATCGGGACTTGGTGGACATTGTCCAAGTAAGAGCGTCCAGCTCCGCCTTTGCTGCGATTGCTTGGGACAAGTCTGTGCTGACCTGGGGAAACCCTCGACTGGGAGGAGATCCTGCCAAGGCGCCAGCGAAGGCAGTGCAGCTATACTCAAACTATCATGCATTTGCTGCCATTCTTGAGGATGGAAAAGTCTTCACTTGGCCGAGCTCGGGGTGATTGCTCAGCTGTGAGCCATCAGCTTCAAGGAGTTCGCACTATCAAAGGAAATGATCTAGCTTTTGTTTGGCTTGCCGCCCTGGCTGCGTTCCGTGTATGGGGTCATGGAATTGCCTTCGCATGGGCTTTTGCTGGACATTGCCTAGATTCTGCCTTGGCACCTGCCTCTTGTTTTATGCATGAGGTACCTGATCTGCATTTGCCTAAGCAGCATCCTTTCACACCATGGGAGGAGTCCAAGAAGTCGACTGGCACTGTCTCTGTTTGCACTCGCCTGCGCCGCCTTCTTTGCAGATGGTTTCCCAGAAAGAAACGACGTCTTAGGAGTTCTCTGAAGCCGGCTCGACTAGCAGGCAAATCTAGAGTCAAAGGACCTCGGCACAAACGTGCCAGGGGTCAAAAACATGCAGTCAGTTGCAGTTACCAAG